GTGTCCATATGCAACTAAAATTAAAAAAAAAAAGGCTCAGTAAAATACAAGAAAACCAGGACTAAGGTATAGGATGCAAGTTTAATAACTCATCTCTGTACCTGAAAGTTCTAACCCCAAACATCAAAATCCCAGTGGCTTTATTTGGCTGGTTAAACAATGGTGCTCACATGTTTCTGTTTTGCTCGTTTTTATGGCTTAGACATGAGGTTTTTCCAAAAGCTCATATGTAAGATAACACAAGAATTTTCACAGTGAAGTGACTGGGTTATAAGAGCAATAATCTAATCAGTTCATTAATCCACTGATCTGAATTCAATGGGTGGTAATTGTAGGTGGGTATGCTATAGCTGGAAGAAGTATGTCACTGGAGGTGTGCCTTTGGGTTTATATTTTGTCCCAGGTTTTAGAGTTATTTCTCTTTATTTCCTGATTGCCATGTCCTGAGTTGTTTCCTTCCACCATACACTTCAGCCATTATATTTATTCTGCTTCACCTCAGGTTGAATGTTATGGAATCAGTTGACCATAGTCTGAACCTTTGAAACCATGAGCCCCCAAATTAACTTTTCTTCCCCTAAATTGTTATTTACAGGTCTTTTGGTCACAGTGAAGGAACGCTAACTAAAACATCTGCCTTCTCTACCCTATGTTACTAGATATGTGTGCACATGTGTACTATTGTGAAGGGACAAGCACACGTGTGCACATGAGCATTAAGGAAAGCATACAACTTATAGATCTCCTAGTCTTACCTAGCCTAGATTTATATCATTCCATAGTTTGGTTGAGAAAAACAATACCCAGATCTGCCTCATGTAGTGCTGCCTTTTATTAATTGAAACCTTATAATTTATTTCTTAGTGATCACACCTGTATCACATTTACTAAATTTCCTTCTTACAACCCTTCCAAAAATCCTCTCATTGGAGGAGCCATAAAATCACCTTTTTAAACAGAATTTCTGACTTAGTCCTATAAAATCATAATTCAAAATATTGGTACTAAATTGACTTAATGCCATCCATATATAATGAATTTCTGCATGCCACTTTATGTCCTGACTGTCCTTTATGTCCTGACTGCAAAAGAAGCCATTTTTGCTTAGGGAAATATTTCATCTCTGTACATTTGTATTGGGCACTGGGCTGCCAGAAAAAAAGAAATTACCAAATACATTGTTTCCTTTGGAGCCCTCAGTTTGAGAAACTAGAAACATACATTTTCCGGTAGTAGAATCTGCTTATTCCTAATACCTACCATTATTTACCTCTTCTGCTTTCTTCAGTTAGATTCCGTTTAACCTTCCATGTCCTACCTCTTACAGTGTTCTAATTTGTAAACTATATCAAGTAGATGGAGTGTAAATATTAAATTCAGGATGCCATGTTAGCCTCTCAAATTAACAAACTGAAAGGTTATTATAATTACAGATTTATCATTGCAGCTAGATTAAAAGATCGAGGTGAAGCTAAACATGTGCATGCAACATTAAAACTGCCTATTATGAAAGAATGTGTAGGCCACAAAGAACGTGTCAGTTTTATGTCAAATCAAAATTGGCTTGGTGAAAATTAATGGTGAATAATTCAGAATAAATGCAATCAGAAATATCTCTAAAATACTTCCATAAAATTTAAGTTATTTCTCAATGATAGTACCTTCAATAAACTCCTAGGGGCTTTCAAAAAGTAACTTAGACCAACATAAAATAAATATTTCAATAGTGTATTTTATTTTCCTTTTTTTTCTTTCTTTCTATATTTATTTATAGTATTGGGAATCAAACCCAGGGGCATTTAACCACTGAGCCACATCCCCACTCCTTTTTATTTTTTATTTTGAGATCGGGTCTAACTAAGTTGTTGAGGCTGGCTTTGAGCTCAATATCCACCTGCCTCAGCCTTTAGAGCTGCTGGGATTATAGGCGTGCACCACCATGCCTGGCTCAACAGCATATTTTAAAACAAGGTGTTTGTGGTAGATTTATTTCACTTTTTTTGCAGTGCTAAGGATTGAACCTTTCGCACTCTACCACTGAGTTACATCCTCAGTCCTAGTAGCTTCATTTTAAACCAAGCTAGACAAAGATGTGGAAGTAAATTCACACACACACACACACACACACACACGTGTGTGTGTGTTAGAAAGTTTTAAAGAAAATTCAAGCCACAATTTAGTGCTAATCATGACACTTTTATGCAGTCAATTGCACTAGTGATATCTGTATTATGCTTTCAATCCAAAGCCTAAGAAATGTTATGATCATTAGAACTTAGCTATTTCTACAATGAGTATACTTGTAACTACTTGAAAACAAGACTCATACATTGCTTCATGTAAAATACAATTTACTGGGAAAAGAGTTTCTGCAAACATAGCCACTTTACTTTCTGCATTCCATTTCAACCTTTTTCAAAATATTTACCACCCACTAGGCCTCCTGATTTCTTTTTTGTGTTTATTTTAAGACATTTCAGTGTTTTCAGGTAAGTGTCTCAGCAAAGGCAGAAAAGAAGATTAGAGACTAATATGGAGGGTCTAAGATTGCCTTTGAGTAATGTGAACATAAAACCAGAGCCAAGATCCAAGAGTTTGGATCTTGCTGCCTTTTAACTGATTTATTCCTAGAGAACAATTCAGAGAGAATAGAAAGCAGGTTATCTGCGAAGCCTTTTAAAGCACACATTTCTAAGCTGGTAGTGACATTGGCACAAATATGCTATTGTGGTACGTTGAACTACTAAGAAAAATACCTTATTTTCAAATTAATAACACACATAACAGTAGTTCTATTTTTCTTTGTATTTGTTTTATTCATTTTAAATTATATTGTCCTTATATTTATTGAGGTGGCTCATCATATAATGTAAAGGATCAAATAGGTCTATAAGTCATATTACAAATGAAAGCAGTCTTCATACTGTATTTCACATGCCTTCCAACAATTATAGCTAGAGTTCTTTAAAAAACTGAAGTTCAAAAGCCTAAATAATGTTTATTTTGGTACTTCTAGATATTTTTATTGTAGATACTATGAAAGTGAAGGATTTCAACCAATTACTCCATACTTTAAAGATGCAACCATACTAATGCTTCTCCCTCACATCCCAGTACTGGGGATTGAACTGAGGGGTCCTCTACCACTGAGCTAGACCCCAAGCCTCCAGTAACAATTTTAGATCTGTTACTATTGAAAAGAATAGGTGATGAAGTCAGAGAGAAAATTCAGGAATGGAGGTAGTGGAGTGGCTAGACCATGTAGGCATGATTTTGTAAATCATTCTAAAATCTTGGCTCTTGCTCCTGGGTTAAATAGAAAGTTATTTTGGTCAGCACCATTCTGGTTATTCTGTTGATAATAGACTATAAGTTTCTCTTCTAGGTAATTATGGATTGGAATATTCAGCAAAATCCTCCTGATAAGAAAAAAAAGGATATCCTTACCTCTACTAAGAATAAAACTCCATGTTCATATATGAATACAGGACCAGTGTAATTCCATATTATGTTCAACCACAAGAATGTGATCCTAATTAGAATAATTTATTTGTAAATAATTTATTTATGTAAAATATGTCAAAATATGTTTCACTGTCATTTACATCTAAAAAGAACAAATTAAAAATAAACAATACCTCCTTTTAAATCCTTCCTCAAGTAGTTTTCCATGAACCCTAGAGTCCCAGTTCCTTAGAAGCAGGTACAAGAAAAATATTTGGAAAAAAAAAGAATAAAACCCCAGAATTGTACCAGGCTAAAAGTGGGGCACTGAGGATACAAGTGTTTCTCAAACAGAATTATGTCTGATCCTATTTTTTTCAGATATCACCAATACCTAAGAAATTTAGGGGTTTAGAGGTACAAATGTGTTTGTTTCTCACCTTCCTCTCCTGTCAAGTAAAGATTTTGCATGCTCTCTTTCCCTCTCTTCCTCTTTCTCTGTCTTAACTTTTATAATTTTTAATTTTTAACTGAAAATAAGTATTGTGTGTATTTTAGATGTACAACATGGCATTTTGATATATGTATACATGTGAAATGATTATATCAAATTAATTAACACAGACTCAGTTACCAACCATCCCACTATCGATATTTTCTTTTTTTAATTTTTTCTTTTTTTCTTGATTTTTTTAAAAAAATAAATGACAGTAGAATGCATTACAATTCCTATTACACATATACAGCACAATTTTTCATATCTCTGGTTGTATATAAAATATATTGACACCAATTCCTGTCTTCATACATGTACTTTGGATAATGATGTCCATCACATTCCACCATCCTTGCTAATCCCCTGCCCCCTCCCTTTCCCTCCCACCCCTATGCTCTATCTAGAATTCATCTATTCCTCCCATGTTCCCCCTCCCTACCTCAGTATGAGTCAGCCTCCTTATATCAGAGAAAATATTCGGCATTTGTTTTTTTGGGGATTGGCTAACTTCACTTAGCATTATCTTCTCCAGTGCCATCCACTCACCTGCAAATGCTATGATTTTATTCTCTTTTATTCCTGAGTAAAATTCCATTGAGTATATATGCCACATTTTTTTTTATCCATTCATCCAGTGAAGGGCATCTAGGTTGGCTCCACAGTTCAGCTATTGTGAATTGTGCTGCTATAAATGTTGATGTGGCTGTGTCCCTGTAATATGCTGGTTTTAAGTCTTTTGGATATAGACTGAGGAGAGAGATATGAAAAAATTGCTCATCATCTCTAGCAATTAGAGAAATGCGAATCAAAACTACTCTAAGATATCATCTCACTCCAATCAGAATGGCAGCTTTTATGAAGACAAACAATAAGTAGTGGCGAGGATGTGGAGAAAAAGGCACACTCCTACATTGCTGGTGGGACTGCAAATTGGTGCAGCCAATATGGAAAGCAGTATGGAAATTCCTTGGAAATCTGGGAATGGAAACAGCATTTGACCCAGCTATCCCTCTCCTCGGTCTATACCCAAAAGACTTAAAAACAGCATTCTTTTTTTTTTTTTAATATGGAACACTTCATGAATTTGTCAGTCTTTTACAAGAACCATGCTAATCTTCTCTGTATCATTCCAATTTTAGTGTATGTGTTGCCAAAGTGAGTATGGCCAATATTTTCTTGTATTCATTTTCTATGTTATTCTCTTTGTAGTTTTGTTTTTTAAAATTCTTTTTATTTTTATTTTCAGGGATTTAAAGAAGACAAATATGTATGTAAATGTATGTTAACTCTGCTATTTTGAACAAAAGTCAAATGTAGTAAGTCTGCAATAATTTAAAGAAACAAAGTAGAATATAGGTTAGAATGAAATATGAAATCTCTGGTGCCAGGACTCCTGCTTTCAAAAACAGTCTCAAAGAAATTATTTTACCTTACTTCCTCAGCTTCTTTAAGAAAAAGAAAATAACAACCCTCCCCTTGACATCCTGATCATCAAATACAAATTAATACATACAAATTAGTTCATCTGCTGCATGGCAAATGCTTAATACAACTTAGTTGTTATCAACTATCTCCCTAAATATACCCAAGTATTCTTGTAACACTGAGTAAAAGTTAGAAAAAATAGAACATTTTTGCAGTAAACTTTTGAAAAAAAAATTATATCAAAAGCAATCACTGAGGGCTGGGATCATGGCTCAGTGGCTACTTGCCTGGCATATGAGGCACTGGGTTCAATCCTCAGCACCACATAAAAGTAAATGAATAAAATAAAGGTATTGTGTCCATCTACAACTGAACATATAAAATATTTATTTTTAAAAAAGCAATCACTGAAATATGTCCAGTATATTTATAGTTTCTTTTCTCAATCCTCCTACTTATTTGTCCTTCATTTGTTCTTCTTTCATCTGTTCCCACTTGCTAACCCCATACCCATTCTCAATTTCCTTCTATAATAAATACAATAATTTATTAATCTATTACTTTGATACCTACTGGCCTCTTAGCTTCTTATTCTCCTTTGCCATAAATTTCCCATTGGTTAGTACACCACTTCATTATTTGAGCTTTCTTTTCTAACTTCCCCTGGGTCTACATTAGAAAATCATTAGCAATTTTTCAGCCACTGTCCTTTTCTTTCCTTACTATTAATTTTGCACTAGGGTTCCTTATATTTTTCTATGTATTTGCATATTCACGAACAAAGACATGTTTTCTTCTATTGTTAGCAGAAGCCAGTAATTAGAAACAATTTAAAATATGTATTTTGAAAGAAATAAGACATTTTACACCATAATTTTTGAACAATTAATAAATTTAGGGGATTTAAAATCTCTACCAATTTACCAGGTGTTATCCAACTGTGAGATTTCTGCTCTAGGATTCCATTCCCTGACTCATGGACCTGGTTTCTCAAGTTCTGTGATTGCAACATCACTCTTTAATCTAGCCATTAATGCAGAGGCAGAAACTGGCATCAAATTCAGTCATAACTTTCCTAGTTTGTGCAGAATTTTTATTACATAAACATTTACACCTTTCTTTGCAGGAGAAAACCATTGCATATTGGATTTTTAATAACAATCATATTTATAACCATTTGTGTATATATGTGTGCACATGTATATATGTGTGTGTGTGTGTGTGTGTGTATAAAACTTATATATGTGTGTTTTTAAATGACTGGAAGGAAAAGTAAAACATACAAAGTTCATTCTTAAAAGTTTAAGTTTTTTATATCTATTATATATCTGAAATGAGCTTTTGGTCTTGCTCTTCCATGACTAACCAGTTTAGAAATCCCTCCATCACTATATTTTGTTTTACCATTTTATTGGTGGGTGTCCTTACGTTTTTTTCCAATTGTCTGTTTGGGCTTGTTTCAGCACCTTCTAAATTGGATGCTGCTGAAAATAACTTTCATCAAAAACTTCGAGACCCTTTTTTCACAGGTCAGAAGTTGAATCCTACTTAGATCAGAGTGACTTGCTAGAGTGACAGGTCAGAGACTCATTGGTTTTTCCCTAAGCAGACCTTATTCTTTTGCTTTTGAGCTAGAAGGCACTAGAGTTACTATAAATTCTCTGGAGCAGATGAAAACAAAATTCTGTGAGCATATTTTTAATTATTTTCCTCTATTTGTATTATTTTACCCAAATCTATAGCCCCCTGAGGTAAGGGAAAGGGATATAAAAACTCAGTGTCTTAGTGTCTTTCATTTTTTTAGTTTCCTTTGCTTCATATTTTGAGCATTAAATAAATGACTCTAAATTTGAAAAATTCTATGTAAATATAAGACATTTTTATCTTCTCAGATGATAATTGAGAAGTTATTAACTAGTGTTTTTCTCAGCCAACTTATAGTTTGACCTATAATATTCGTTAGTAAAGGTATAAATCCAAGCTTACTGGATTTGGAGAAAAGTAAAAGATTCTTTATGATGTAAGTCAAATGCCTCAAGAGTAAGCCATTGAGAAGTTGTTTTTTTAGGTGAATGATGAATTTTAGAACTTGAATTGACCTTCTTTCTCATTAATTATTCAGTATAATTATATCTGTATCAAATATAAGTAATTGTCCCTCCAGTTATTCCCTCAAAAACACTTTGTAAACTTTCAGCATCATGTGCATGACATAAACAAAGTATCCTTAAATATGGCATGTAATATATATGAAACATCTTTTGCAATTAGTGAATCAAATAAAAATAACTTAGTTTTTTAAAATTATACCCCAGAGGTTGTCAAACTATATCTCATGGGTCAAACTCAACCTGCTACCTATTTTTGTAAATAAAGTTTAATTGAAACACAGCTATGCACATGTGCTCATATATTGTCTAAGGCTACTGTTGCACTTCAACTGCAGAATTATTTGTAACAGAAAGAGTATGATGCATGCCCCAGGATCCAGACATACCTCTGTGTTTTAGTCTTGCTCTGCAGGCCGATCTCAGCTCCAGACTGGCTGCTGCTGTAGACCCAGACCCTGGCTCACACCCACGGAATAAGGCTTTAGGCTTGCCTCAGGGCCAGGCCAAACATCATGGCCCCAGGATCCAGCAAACAAGGCTGTAGGCCTGCCTGGGGCTCACATGATCAAGGCTGATACCAGTAGACCCAGCATCAGGTTGCCCTTTGTGAACCCAGGTTCCAGGCCTGCCCTAATATCAAAGCACAAGAATAAACCATGTAGAACAGGCAGCAGGCCTACCAATCCAGTGACCCAATCATCCGGCCAGCTAGTCTGAAGACTCCAGCAGCAAGGCTGCCTGTAGATTCTGCCAGATGGCCCATCCAGAATCTAGATGGTATGACTGCTGAAGGTCTTTCAACTTTCCGAAGTTGGTTACCCAGAGGAACAAAAAGAGAAATTAATGAGAAAGAATAAACATATTCTACAGGACTTATGGGACACCATCAAGCAAACAATATATACTTCAGGACAGTTACAGAAGAAGTAAGAAGAGGAAAAAGGGGGCAGAAACCTTATTTAAAGAAATAATGAGAGAAAATTTCCCAAATCTAGAATGAGAAATTGACACCTTTATATGTGAAAAGAAACAAAACTGAAATAAAACAACTGTCAATTGAGAATTCTCTCTGGCAAACTGTCTTTCAAAACTGAGGGAGAAGACTGGGAATATAGCTCAGTGATAGATTGCTTGCCTAGCATGTACAAGGCCCTGGCTTTAATTCCTAGTATTGAAAACCAAAAAAAAAAAAAAAAAAAAAAACTGGGGGAAAATGAAGACATTTCCAGATAAACATAAGCTGAGGAAGCCAGTTACTATTAGGTGTCCTACAAGAAATGCTAAAGAGTATCCTTCAAGGTGAAAAGAAATAACTGTACCACAAAGCCGTAATTAAATCTAAAGTTCCCCCATGAAAGTAAATTCATGGGAAAACAATTTTAGAAGTATTATTGTAACTCTTCTTTTCTATTTTTGTACAGAATTCAGAAGACAAGTATATAAAATAATCATGAAATCTATGTTAACAGGTACACAAATATAAAGATACAATTTGGTTTGGGTTGTTTTGTTTTGTTCATTGATATATAAAAACATAAAAATCAACATATTATTGGGGAACCACATAAAGTTTCAATGCATGTATATATTACTTAATGCATAAATCAGGTTAAACATACTTAACTCCTCAAACATTTATCACTTCTTTATGGTGAAAAATTTAAAAATCCTTTCTTCTATTTTTTTGAAATGCACAGTACATGATTATTATCTATAGTCAACATACTGAGCAATAGCACAACAGAACTTCTTGCTCTTACATGTCTGTAATGTAATGCCCATTTTTCAACCTGTCCCCCTCTTCCCACTAAACACACTCTCTCCTCAGACTCTGGTATCCACCATTCTACTCTCAATTTCTTTGAGATCAACTTCTTCAGATTCCACATATGCATGAGATCACTCAGTACTGTTCTGTGCCTGGTTTCTTTCACTGAATATAATCATCTCCGGTTAATGCCTAATTTAAGGAAAAAGAAAGACCTCAAATAAACAATTTAACTCTTCAACTCAAGAAATTAAACCAAAATAAATAACTAAGTAAAAAAATACTAAACCCAAAATTAACAGCAGGAAGGAAATCATACATACTGGAATGGAAACAAGTGAAACAGAGACAAGAAAGACAGTTCAGAGACAACTATATTCAAGAGTTGAGTTTTTTATTGGAAAGATATAATATTTTTTTATTGGTTGTTCAAAACATTACAAAGCTCTTGACATATCATATTTCATACATTAGATTCAAGTCGGTTATGAACTCCCAATTTTACCCCAAATACAGATTGCAGAATCACATCGGTTACACATCCACATTTTTACATAATGCCCTATTAGTAACTGTTGTATTCTGCTACCTTTCCTATCCTCTACTATCCCCCCTCCCCTCCCCTCCCATCTTCTCTCTCTACCCCATCTACTGTAATTCCGGAGCCGAGCCCGTGTGCATGGACGCGGTGGGGCACCGCTGTCCTCCCAGAGGCTCGGGAGACTGAGGCAGGAGGATTGCGAGTTCAAAGCCAGCCTCAGCCAAAGCGAGGCTGTAAGCAACTCAGGGAGATCCTGTCTCTAAATAAAATACAAAATAGGGCTGGGGACAGGGCTCAGGGGTCGAGTGCCCCGGAGTT